ACCCCCAGACTCCGCACGACCAGTACCAGCCCCCGGAAGACAAGAGTCCTCTGCAACCCGCGGCTCAGCTCCAACTCCAGCACCCCCAGAACCAGAGACCTGTACAGGGACAGTCGCAGGACCAACCTCCCGAGAGGGAGCACCTGCAGGAGGCGGCGAGGAAGACTGTGGGGAGGGAGGCTGTACAGGGGGGGCTACCGAAGGGGGAGGGCTAGCCTGAGACACACCAGACGGGGCTGGACCAGGGGGGGGAGGCTGTACCGGGGGAGCAGGCGGGGGAGCGGCGGTCAGGAAGAGAGGGGGGGGAGGGACCGGGAGACCTCGACTGGGGTACCTGACGTAGTAGGGGGTGGACTCCTCAAAACGAACGTCACGGGAGTCAAAGAACCGGTGAGAGGGAGGGTGGTAAAAGGTGAAGTCAGAGGAGTCCTCAGGGAAACCAAGGAAGACACAAGGAACGGCGCGAGGCGAGAGCTTGTCCGCGGAGGTGTCGCGGACAAGAGCCAAGCACCCCCAGACACGAAACCTCGACGCGACACCAGGGGACCCTGTCCAAAGACTGGTCGGTGAAGCCTCCGGCCGAGAGACGCGTGGCCAGAGGTTCAGCTGGTGCGCGGCGTACCTGACCGCGTATGGCCACAGGAAATGGGGGGCACGGGCGTGAGTCAAGGAGGTGCGGGCAATCTCCATGACCAGGCCTATGCGACGCTCAGCAACCCCATTCTGCTGTGGGGACTCCGGAAGCGTCCAGGACTGACGAATGCCCTGTTCGCGACAGAATCCAGCGAGAATGCCGGAGCGAAACTCGCCCCCGCGGTCGGAGTGGAGACAGCTGACACGACGACCACGAGTGTCCTGGGTGGTAAGCAACCACCTGATCAGCGTAGAAGTCACCTCAGACTTCCTCGCCAGGGGGAACACTGTGGTGTAGCGGGAGTAGTCGTCAACGACCACCAAAAAGAAACGCTCACGCTCAGGGCCAGGGCGAGGAGAGGGGCCCCAGACGTCCAAGTGCAGCGTCTCAAAAGGCTCGGTGGCCGGACGAAGGGAGGAGGAGTGAGGGGTGGCGCGCAGCCTACCCTCGACGCAAGGACCGCACGGTGGTGCAAGGGACGGCGGCAGCGACGGCAAGACACGCGGGAGACCTAAGACAAGACGCTGACGAGACATAGCGCGAAGACGAGGAGGAGAAGGGTGCCCCAGCCGGTGGTGCCACAAAACGGTGGGGTGGGCAAGCGACCGACAGGAGCACGACGCAGCGACCGGACTAGACGGAGGAACCTGACAAGACACAGCTACCTGGGGGGACGGAGCAACCTGGTGAGACGCGAGGACTCGAACGGGGGGCAAAACAGGGGCCGGGGGCAGGAGGGGCGGCTGTGGCTGCGGCTGCGGCTGCTGCTGCCGCTGCTGCTGCGGCTGCTGCTGCTGCTGCAGTCGCTGCTGAGGGCGCGGGCCAGTGTGAAGAGTGTAGAGACCGGAGCCCGGCTCAGCAGCAAAAGTGGCGAGGGGCTGGTAAGAGTCCCCGTCAACACACACCGCAGTCTCTCCAGAAGGCTCAAACCACACACCCACGTGCTGACTCACGAGGGGTCGCACGCCCACCAAGTTCTGGGAGAACGAGGGGACGTGAAACCCAGTGAGAGACCCAGAAGGAGCAGCCGGACACGGCAAGGTGGTAGTGTGACGCGCGGTGACTGGTCCCGAAGTGGGATCAGCCAGCGCCACAGAAACAGGCGCAGGAAGAGGCGTAAGTGTCGTGCTGTCACGAAAGAAGCAGTGAGAGGCTCCAGAGTCCAGCGTGAACGACAGCGAACCGTCCTCTGAGGTAGCCGCTGGACTAGAGTCTACACAAGAACCTACACTAGCAACAGGCAACTGAGCAAGGCTAGCACCTAAGCTAACAACACCAGAGTAAACAGAGTCAGAAACACTAGAGTCAACAACAGCATACATAGCATGGGGATTACCAATCAGATCAACTAACTGCTCAGCAGACATGCCCCACAGAGCGGAGCCGTAACGCTGAACAAGAGGCAGCCAGTCAGGGGCAGGAGCACCAACCCCGTAGACCAAACGAACCGTGTCAGTGAGCTGAGCAAAGCACTGACCAGGGGGGTGAAACCGGCCACAAGGGTGGCCACGACGAGGGCCTGTCAGAACCTGGTAGGTGCATTGATGTTGGTTGGGGTACATATAGCTAACCCTAAGTTTTGTACCCCCTAAGACAAACCTCACTATAGGCTACAACATTTGACAAAAATTTTAAGTTTCACTTAAAAATTTGAAGATTGTGATTCGACTAGTAGAGGAGTTTGCAGTAAAGGAGACAACCTCCTTTACATTCCGGCAGGTCTCTCAGACCTGCCACCTAGTCTCATAAGCATTTTTCAGATCTTCATTTGCTTCCCTCCCACCCTCTCCCCATTTCATACTTCCGTTTTCATTCGCTTATCATGTTAGGATAGTATTTGTAATTGGCCATGCGAGTATGCTGTACAAACCGAGATTTGTAATGCTATGACGACTGCACTGCACACTCCTCGTAGAGTCGTGTCACAATCAAGTCTTTGTTTGTGGACATGCGCGCTCCCCCTGGTAGGTGGGTCTTTTTGTAGGGAATGAATCCACAACCTAAAAATTTGAGTGAGTAAAATACATGCAAATTGATCCTGGCAAGACGAAGGCTGCACGTTGAATTCATCTTTACGTGACTAGTGGAATAAATCAATATGAATAAGCGGGGGGGGAAATTTGCTCAGGCGGGTGAGGTAAGACAAGTGTGCCCACATCCTACTCATCCTCATCATCATCATCAGAGCCATAGGTTGATAACAAGTTGGTTAACGCAGCCTTCCCCTTCTCGTCATCTTGCTTTGAGCCACCAGCATTGCCTTTAGCAATTTCAGCTCCAGCATTCCCTCTAGAATCGTTGCTCCTCAATGACACTTCTCCTGCACCCTTGCCTGCAGATGCTGCCGTGTCTGGAGCCTTGCTCTTTGCCTTCACCATAAACGCCACCTTCACAGGCTTGGCTTCAAAAGCCGGCCGAGGGTCTTCCTGGACAAATCTGCTCCGTCGATTTTCAAAAGCTGAACTTGCTGCTGCTGCTGCTCCTGCACCTGCTGCTGCCGATGCAACCGACCCACCTGCACCAAGTGTGGCTGCCAGAGCTGCTTCTTCCTGGGTTGTTGATGCCACCCTTACTGATTCCACAACAGCAGATGGTTCTCTTGAGCTCATAGCTTTATCACTATCACCAAGAACAGCACCACCGCCTGCTTCAGCTTCGCCTCCATTGGCGGCAATACGAGCCCTTTTTACCCCTCCTTGCTGGTCCTTGTTACTGGCTTCAGCTCCTTCACCTTCTTGCCCCTCATCCTCCTCGTCACTCTCTATCCTCTTTACAAACTTCTCAGATTTTCTGAATACTATCTTCTTAATCAACTCCTCGTCTTCTTCCGTTAGTTGTTTCGGATCTGCTAACACTCCTCCTCCGCTCCCACCAGCTCCGCCGGCCGATCTCTGAAGCGCCTCTAGAACCGCTGCTGGATCGAGGGTTGCTTGTCGCGCACTCATCGACATCATTTCGTCCAAGGCTGCGAGAATGTCCATCTCCATCTTGGAGTCAAGGGTTCGATTCTCGAGAGCGCGCATCGCGTCGCCCATTTCTTCCTCCTCGCGCTGCCGCTTCGCGGCCGCCTTCTGCTCGTCCGACGCCCGCCATGGCTCGAAGTTTCTTGAAGCCCCGGATTCCATCTCGTAGTCGCTATTCTTAGGATCCGTCTTCATGACCATCTCAGCTGAGCACTTCGTGCACTTGAAATAGAAGCGGAATTTCATGAGACCGAGGTAAGTGTCTCCGACAACGTCCTCCTTCCGGCAGTTGAATTTCGTTCCCTTGTACATGTACGTCCCGCAGGTGTTGCATCGGATGCTCATAGGAAGCATCATGCGAACTTTCATCTGCTCATTTTTAAGCGGGATGCGCTTCGGAATCTTCGACGGATCGAAGTCCGGCGGGTAGTACTTGTTGAGAACCTTCCGCTCACCCATGGCTGATGGCTTGAAAACCCGAGACTACTGGTGAAGGATGATGAAGAAGCAGCGCAAGAGTATGCTTGAATAAACAATATGGACGCGATCAGCTGTGGAAGGAGTCAGTTCTAGGTAAAGGTAAGGGTAAACAAGTTCTTGGTATGTAGAAGCTGAACAAGCTCAACAATCTTCAAGAGAAAATGGTACTGGAAAAGAAGGTGTCTCTATTGGGGTGTTTTACCCAAGATGTACAATAATGTTGCATGTGGGCTTCTTAGGGCAGATGATACGATTTTATGGTCCAGTCATAGCTCGTGTCTGATATCAGGTCATCGGCAAGTGGAGGCTTGGAAGACCCGAATTGGCTCCAAATAATGGCAATTCAGCGTTCGGAAGGAACAAATCAGAGACTAAGGCCGATGACCTGATGTCAGACACGAGCTAGGAATTTACCCCTACTTTAGGAGTTGCTATTGGCCGAATTCTTCCAGTTGGGGTGGGGTGGCCTCAACAAGTGCCACATTCTTCGAAGTGTTCGTTCGCAGAACGAAAAGTTCCTTCCAGTATCTGTATCCCGCCCGAGAGTCTTCACTAAACGTGTTTCGTTACCGTTTCCGAAACGTGTTTCCCTTCACGAAGATACCTCACAGCAAGAGTTGATGTCCAGGGACTCTGTTGGAAATACTAGCCACTAGAGAAACATAATTTAGCAGTAAATAATATTGTGTATTCCCTGGTCGCTGGTTCTTCCGTCGTTACCGCTGCTGCTTCCCACTAGCATCTTTTGATGCTGAAGTTTTTAGGGTTCTTACTAGAATGTGTGTTGTATGCAGGCCTTCATCACGCACTTGTCTCGCGCTCTATAGCCTCTGAAATTCCAAGCAGCTTGTCAGCTTAGTCCGTTATCTTCCAGCGTAGGAACTCAGCCATCTGTAGGTTTATATCGTTGCGACCTTGTCACCATGGCAAAGCGCATACCTATGATCAAGTTCCCAATCCGGTCTCGAGGTGAGCGGCATATTCATGCGCAGACATCTTCTTTTCGCTATTCTCAACCTCATCCTGCTTTCGCCAATTCGTCATCACACCAATTCCCCGTTGCTTCCATGCTGATTAATATCCTTTTTTTCTTCAACGTGTTAATTTCCTACCCGCTGTCTCAGCTCCAACACCAGCAGCTGCACAAACGTCCCAAAAACATACCCCTTCGCTTCAACAATTCACATCGGCACCAGCACAAGCACCAGCAGGAGCATCCTCAAAACCGCAAACACCAGCCTCGTCACACCAATCTCCCGCTCCCACGGCCAGCACTTCTTCATCCTCTTCACAAGCAGCTCCAGTGATAGAATCCTTAGCAGTTCCCAGCTTTGGTGAGAAAGGCGTATCGAAGACTAATCCTAAGAAGCCGGGGCCTCTAGCAGCAAGTTTGCAACCCCGACGGAGGCCAATGACAGATGAAGAGATTGATCTGGTAATGGTAAGTCATTCTGTCCGTTCAGGTACAACAATTTCTAGGCAGACTCAAAAATCAACCCCAACAGAGGCACATTGCAGATGATGAGATTGACCTGATAATGGTAAGTCATCCTGTCCGTTCAGATTAGAAATCGCAAGGAAATATATTTTATTTTTACCACCATTTGTACTTTCAAAATACGCAACCCTTTCTCGTTTCTTCTTGTGGTTCCTTGTCCGTGCGTAACTGCACGCAAACATTCTTGTTACCACCACCCTCTTACTGAACCCGCCTCTCCCCCTTCTCCTACCCCTTACACGTTTCCATCCTGTTGCACCTAACAGAGTGGTGGTGCAGTCTTCCTTTGATGTTCTGAAATGATCATGGTTCACGCCATTGAGGATTTGCAGCAGATAGTAAATTTCTTTGTGCCAGGAAAGCATGCCTCTACAATTAAATTCGCAAAGATCTCAGCAACAGAGGACTAAGGGCGGTACCATGGTGTGGGTATGGTTAGCCAGCTTTAGCTAGACACAAGATTCCCTGACTGGATACGAATGGCAGCTGCTGGCTCAGTGTTTCTGTACTCCAACATTACTGGTCACATTGCAACTTGTGCTGCTGCTGCTAGGGTAATTATGCTTTCTTGTGCAGGTACCGTAAACCCCCGGATATAAGACCCGGGGGTATTATGCTATGCACACCAAAAAAAATGGGGGGGTCTAAATAAATGGCATATATTTTATAAGACCCGGGTCTTTACAAAATGTATTTTTTAAGACACATGTTTTTGAACTTAGACAAGTGAATGGAAAGTGCTCCGTTTTTAGCACCTCAAAAAAATATGCGAAATTGTCTCGACGAGGATCAAGCGCACGTCATCACGAAATCTAGTTGGAAGTCTTGAATTTCAAGATCCTTGACCCTCGCTCAGTTCACTACCAGCATGTCCAGTCAAAATGAGATGTCAGGCGCGAAAATTGGCTCATTCTTTACTGTTCGCGCCGGCAAGGAATCATTACCTGCCCACTTGCTCGATATTCTCCACCAGATCCACGTATAGTTTCGACTCGATTCAAATTGTAAGAACGTGTCAGAATGAGGAATGGATGATGCATTGATGTTGGTTGGGGTACATATAGCTAACCCTAAGTTTTGTACCCCCTAAGACAAACCTCACTATAGGCTACAACATTTGACAGAACGAGATGTATTGATTGGTGAAGAAAAAACAGATTTCATATACGGTATGTCATCATATATGGGCCGACACTTATGAAAATCCTCGATTTTAAGCGCACCCCCTAAAGAAACGTGTATATCCGAAGGCTGATGGTAGGTCGCCAGTGGGAGGGGGGGGGGGGTCTTATAAAGTCAGATGCCATTTAGGGGGGTATAACCCGGATAGACTTGAATAGAGCACCCCCCCCGTTATAGACCCGGGGGTCTACAACTGGAGGGGGTCTTATATCCGGGGGTTTACGGTAATTGCAATGCACATGGCAAAACTCCAGGTAAGTTACCACAATCAGTGCTTTACACGCAACCAGTACCACACTCGTTCATCAGAAAACTAGCAGCAGTCAGGGAATGGCACATGGAAGCACATGCCTGAGACGAGAAGAGCCATGCGACAGGGACAAAGCTGCAACAGAACTCAAGGCTGCAGAAATGAATTCAGAGGACCGTTGAAGCACATGGAAAGAAAATAGGCATGATAAAAACCTTGAGAAGGATAACAGCACGTATGACCAGGGTTAGCCAGATTGAGGAAGCAAATGAGTTGCAGATAGCAGGGTTGTTACAGGAGAGAAAAAAACAGCAGTCAGATGAGTAGCAGGAAATGGCGAGTAGTAGTGACAGAGTGAGAGAATCAGTGGTTTGGGGGCAGCTGGTGGTCAGAAGGTTATAGTAGCCTGTCAGTGGGTGTGATAGGAGCAAGCATGAGATGGCAAGGTAAGGTCAACTGTGAGTTGTTCAGCAAAGAATCACCTCTCCTGCACATATGGTGATGGTAGGCTGGCTGTCAGTGCGAGTGATAGGAGTGGCCACGGAACCATGTGATGAGGCGGAACGGAATGCTTTTCTTCTACTGGAGCAGAGGAGTCAGAGTGGAAGGGGAAAGATGTCATTGATGCTTGTTACACTGCCTCGGGCAGAGAGGCAAGACGCCTTTCTGGAAACCCTCTGGTGGAAAGCAGCAGTGCTTTGCTTACAGGGGCGGTGAGCTGGCGGCTGGTGGCTGGCTCAGGCCAGAGGACCCCACATTACTGCTTGGTGGTTTGGCTTTTTCTAATCCCTCGTATCTTCCCTCCACTCGCACCACCACCACCACCACCCTCACTCTCCAGAGACCTGGAAGCAACAACCTTCGTTGCACCTCCTGCTCCTCTTCCCTCCCCTCCTCCTACTGCTGCAGCTGCCGGCCCCAGCACAGACCTGCCCCTTTCCTCCCCTGGCTGCACCTTCTTCACCTTCTTAGTTGCCTCTCGCACCTTCCCACCCTTCTCCCCTAAACCCCCAGCCATCCCCCCTCCCACTCCCCCTTCCCCCAGCCCTCCCCCTCCCCCCAGCCCTCCCTCTGGCGGAATTGTTATACCCCCAGGGGGAATGGCCCCACCTTTACCCTTAATGGCTGCTTCCAAGCTGGCAGGGGAGAGCATGGAGGGGTGCACGGCAGGGGGAGGCGCGCGGGGACTGTCTGCGGTACTGAACGGGATCTGGAGCGCAGGTAGTGGCGGGAAGGGCTTGCGAAACGGACTCCCTGATGCTGTTCCTGCTGCTGCTGCTGCTGCGGGATTGCCTGGAATACCAGGAGAAGCCATGCTGCTGCTGTTGCTGCTGCAGCTGAGGGGAGGAGCAAGAGCAGGGGAAGCAGCAGAGGAGGCAGCAGAGGTTGGTCTAGAAGCAGAGGCGCCACCGCCGCCTGCAGCACCAGCAGCAGATGGGTAAAGATCCCCATACGCCTCTGCAGCAGCACCCTCGGACTCGCCTCGGGATGATGCAGACACAGGGCTACGCCCTGCCCTGCTGCTGCTGCTGCTGCTGCCACTGCGGCTGCTACGATGCCAGAAGGTGCAGAGGGGTGGGCAGCGGTGTGGGCGTGCGTGCGAGTGGTTGAGCCGGAGACGGAGCGGCGGAGGGGCAGGGCGGCGGTGGGAGGGAGGGCAGCGGGCTGGGGGGGCATGCCAGTGTGAACTCGACGCAGGGGCGCCAACCCCACCCCTCCCTGCTGCCCCTGCTGCTGCTGCTGCTGCTGCTGCTGGTGTTGCTGCTGGGACTGAGAAAGGCGGTGCTGCCGCTGCGGCTTCTGCCCTTGCTGCTGCTGCTGTTGCTGTTGCTGTTGCTGAGCGGCAATCCCCTGAGGATTCATGGCATCCCACTGAAGCTCTGGAGGAACTGTTGGGCTGCAAAATTCAGGGGTGGGGGACTGGGGGTAGTTCATGCCTCCTCCCATGCCTGCCCCGGCAGCATTGCCAAAGGCAGCAGGATTGGGCGGTTGGAGCATCTGGTTCGGGGGGTTGGGGTAGAGCTCTCGCTCAGGGACGCTGCGAGTGCGGAAGAAGGGAGGGAGGACCAGAGTAGGCGGACCCTCCTGATCCTGCTCCTGCTGAGGCGGCTTCATAGAAACTCCCTGCTGCTGCTGATGATGATACATTTGCTGCGGCTGCATCTGCTGAGGGTGGTGATTATAGGGATGGGGCGCGTTCGGCCGAGGGGCATTACACGGCACCATTCCCCCCATTCCCATGACTCCTGGTCCGCCCATTCCTCCCCCCATTCCCCCGCCCACACCTCCCCCCCTCCCCCCGCCCATACCAGGCCCCATCCCCCCGCCCACCATTTCCCCGGGAAGTTTATTAGAGGATGTTCGGTCCCCACTGACACACCTGCGCATAGGGGGAACCACAGCTCCCCCAACAGCCCCCCCGCCAGGCCCCCCACCCCCCATAGCTGCCCCCATCCCCCCAGGCATTCCCCCTGGCGCTCCCCCCGCCCCCGGCCCCATTCCCCCAGCCATCCTTGTCACGCCCTTGGCCCCCCGCGCCTGCTGCTGCTTCCCCGCGCCCTCCCCATAGTTCCCGCTTCCCCCACTTCCCCTTAGCTTTCCGCCCCCAAAATTCCCGCTTCCCCCGCTGCCCCCTAACTTTCCGCCCCCATAGTTTCCACTTCCCCCGCTTCCCCCTAACTTTCCGCCTCCATAGTTCCCGCTCCCCCCAGCTCCTGCCAATTTCCCCCCTCCATAATTTCCGCTCCCCCCAGCACCCCCTAAATTAGCGGCCCCATAATTTGCGCTCCCTCCACTCCCCCCTAAATTCCCCGCACCATAATTTCCGCTCCCCCCACTCCCCCCTAAGTTTCCGCCTCCGTAATTCCCGCTCCCCCCACTCCCCCCTAAATTTCCGCCTGCGTAATTCCCGCTCCCCCCAGCGTATCCTGGACCATTAGAAGGCGGGTTGAGGGAGAGAGAGGCGGCGGCACGGTCTAGCGAAGCAGAGGGGAGGCTGGCAGCGCGTTTCCCGGCTACAACAGCGCGGCGCTGGGCTAGAGGGGGGAGGTGTAACTGGACAGGAAGATCTGAACCGTCATCCTGCTGACGCTGCTGCTGCTGCTGCTGCTGCTGTTGCTGTTGCTGTTGCTGTTGCTGTTGTTGTTGCTGCTGCATTGCTTGCGATTGGCGTTGGGCTAGTGGGGGCAGGTGTAACTGGATGGGTAGATCTGAATCATCGTCCTGTTGTTGTTGCTGCAGCTGCTTCTGTTGAAATTGCCGCTGGGCCAACGGGGGTAGGTGTAACTGGACAGGTAGATCTGAATCATCGTCCTGTTGTTGTTGCTGCAGCTGCTGCTGTTGAAATTGCCGCTGGGCCAACGGCGGTAGGTGTAACTGGACTGGTAGATCTGAATCATCGTCCTGTTGCTGCTGCTGCTGCTGCTGTTGTTGTAGCAGAAGCTGCTGCTGCATTGCGTGTGATTGGCGCTGAGCTAGTGGGGGCAGGTGTAACTGGACGGGTAGATCTGACGTATCTTTCTGCTGTTGTTGCTGCAGCTGCTGCTGTTGCACTGCTTGAAATTGACGCTGAGCCAACGGGGGTAGGTGTAACTGGACAGGTACATCTGAATCATCGTCGTGCTGCTGCTGCTGCTGCTGCTGTTGTAACAGAAGCTGCTGCTGCAGTGCTTGGGATTGCCGCTGGGCTAGTGGGGGCAGGTGTAACTTCACAGATACATCCGAACTGTCGTCGTCCTGCTGCTGCTGCTGCTGCTGCTGCTGCTGCTGCTGCTGCTGCTGCTGCTGCTGCTGCTGCTGCTGCTTCTGCTGAAGTGCTTGCGATTGCCGTTGGGCTAGCGGGGGCAGGCGTAACTGCAC